GTCCTTAAAAGCAGGAAATATTTTCTGTATAAAAATTTCCTCCCTTGTTATATATAATTTTTTAAATGGAGGCATTATCAGTGCCCAAATATAGAGAAAAGGTTAATTAGAATGTGATTACAATTATGTATAATTTTTAAAAAATGTATAGAATTAAAGCTGAAAGTCTCATCATGATGACAGTAGTTATTATAGGGAGTGCTGTTTTTCTTTTAGTTCTGCCACAGAAGGTAGGAATATATTTTTTCCTCATCTCTCAAAAGAAAACACAAAACAATAATTGTAAACTATTATTGGGCTTCTAACATAAGGATGAAATATATGTGACAGTAGTAGCACCAGATGAGGGGAAAGGGAAAGAGCTATATAGAAATAGTTTCTATATACTACTAGAATTAAATTAAACCCAAAGTAAACATAGGAATGAAATAACAAAGACAAGAACTGAAATCAGTGGAATTGAAAATGGGCAAATGATAAAGAAAATGGATGAAATTAAAAACAAAAACTAGTTCTTTGAAAAGATGCACAAAATTCATAAATCTCTAGCTAGTCTGATGAAAAAAAAAGACAATGAATATCAAGAACAAAGAAAGGAATGTCACTACAGATCCTATAGACATCAAAAAGATAATAAGGAATATAATGAGCACATTTGTATTAGTCCGTTTTTTGTTGCTAATAATAGAAAACCTGAAACTGGGTAATTTATAAAGAAATGAAATTTATTTCTTAGTTTTGGAGGCTGAGAAGTCCAAAGTTGAGGGACCTTGGACTGGTAAAGGCCTTCCTGGTGGAGATTCTCTGCAGAATCTCCTGAGGCAGTGCAGGGCATCACATGTGAGGAGGGGGAAGAGCGGTTGCTTAGCATGCTCACTTGCTTTTCTTATAAAGCCACTAATGCCACTCCTTTGATAACCCATTCATCCATTAATCCATGAATGGATTAATACATTCATGAGGGCAGAGCCCTCAAGATCCGATCACCTCCCAAAGGCCCCACCTCTCAACACTGCCACTCTGGGGATCAGGCTTCCACATGATATTTGGAGGGTCACATATTCTGATCATAGCAACCTTTGTGTCATTTAGAAGAAATGGACAGGTTCCTTGAAAGACACACATTGCTAAGAGTGACCCAAGAAGAAAATAGAATAATAGCCCTATACTGATTTAAGAGATTTAGTTCATAACTAAAACTTTCCCCTAAGAAAACCTTAGATCCCCCTGGCTTCTCTATTGAATTATTTCAAATATTAAAGGAGTAAGTAATAAAAATCCTGTACAAACTCTTTGAGAAAATATAGGAGAGAACATATCCAAACTTATTTTATGAGGCTAGTGTTGCCCTGGTAACAAAACCAAAGACATGGCAAGAAAAGAAGACTACAGACCAATATCCTTCATGACAATAGATATAAAAATCCTTA